ATTTAGAATGATCCCGGCCGAGCAGAAAATGTTTGTCAGGTTGCTCTGGAGCGCGGCATCCATCTGAAAGCTTCAATTTTGTAGCGTAAAAACTAAACAGTCAAAATAAACCGAAATAGAGAGATTTTTTATAGATAAAAATGTTGAAAAATAGCTTCATTGTTCACAAAAAATTAAAAATTAAAAGAAATAGCACGACAAGTGTCGATTTTTTAGTGAAAAAGAGAAGGAATTAATTCAACAAAAAAGATAGGATTTTCCTTCGCTTGAAAACATCAGAAAAAATGTAGAAAAACGCGTCAAATCCTACTATATATAAAAAAATAGTGTCTGTGTGTCTGTGTGTGTGTGCCACTTTGCATCCATTTCCGTCTGTCTGTCCGGAGGATATCTCAATAGGGGAGGAAGTTACGGGTATGTGTGATACGTCATTAGGTGCGCAATGGCCTTGAGATGACTGCACACATATCAAATTTTACAAAATCAGCCATTTTCGACATTAAATTTAAGTTTTTGTGAAAGCTTCTTTGTTAGGAAATAATTAGCATAGACCGGAAGTGGTGATTCGACTATCCTACTATATATAAAAAAATAGTGTCTGTGTGTCTGTGTGTGTGTGCCACTTTGCATCCATTCCGTCTGTCTGTCCGGAGGATATTCAATAGGGGAGGAAGTTACGGGTATGTGTGATACGTCATTAGGTGCGCAATGGCCTTGAGATGACTGCACACATATCAAATTTTACAAAATCAGCCATTTTCGACATTAAATTTAAGTTTTTGTGAAAGCTTCTTTGTTAGGAAATAATTAGCATAGACCGGAAGTGGTGATTCGACTATATAAAAGCACAGATCGACTATATAAATGCACAGACGAGGTTGTTTTTCATTTTTGTCATCTGAATTCAGTACCATTATGCAAAGTGAAGGATAAAATGAGTTAGACGGGGCCAGGGTTGAAAAGTCGCGAAGCGGCTTTTCAACCCTGGTAAAACATTAAAATATTCAGCAAATTGATCTTTCAAAGTGAAAAAAATCGTATAAGAAAAGTAGAAGCAGGAAAAGCTTGAAAAACGCTTCTCAACCGCAAAATAAAATCTTTGTGCCAGATTTTGTAGTTATTACGAGAACAGAGGACACCCAGAGGTGAGTAAACCTATTTTCCAGCGCCGGTGCACCGGAAATGGTCATTTGGAGAAGCCGACTGCTGCTACTATAGGCTGTAGCTAGAATTATAGCCACGCGGCGGTACTTTTGATGAGGGCAATTGGGTTCTAACCTCTGGGCTCTCGGTGTGGCAGCAAAGCACGAACAAAAGTAAATAGCCAAAAATAACTTAAGAATGAGTGCCATCCAATTTTTTGAACCTTAAAGGGACGAGGAAGTGAGAGAATCGACTGCTGAGAGAGAGAGCGAGAGGGAGAGAGAGATCCAAAGATCGAGAGTGATAGAGAGTATGAGATAAAGGAGGAGCAGGAGAATGAATCAATGGATGAAGGAATTAGGCTTAGCATAGGCCTAGCTTACGCCTAGGTTTGGGCTTGAGCTAGAGCGTCCTTCCCTAGATCTACACAGTTGCCACTAGAATCCCGACCTCTCGGAATAGACACTCTCAGCTCCCGGAATCAAAAGTATCCTCTCTGCAAAAGGTGGTGTGTATCTCTCTGGTGTTCCGGCTGACCGAATGAATTCCATTAGCGGCCCTATCCCTGGGGGGAAGGGAAAAGGGGTACCGCGTGGGTGCTCGAGGAGTGCAGCCCGTTTTTTTTCGAGGTGTAGCCGGGGGAATGGTGCGGGTAGAACCTATTTTCCGTCCCTTCGGGTTTCATTCATCAAGCCGCAGTTCTGATGAGGTCGTGCTCGATTTCCGGGTGGTCGTGTGATGAAGCCTGGATAGAATTGGGGGTGGCCTCAATTTAGAGACATCAAAGTTCAGGGTACATTTTTTAGGAGAGAGAGAGAGGGAGAGAGAGAGAGAGAGAAGACATTGAGGGAGGGAGAGAGAGCGAGAAAGACAGTGAGAGAGAGCGAGAGAGAAAGAGTTTGATCCAAATTTGATCTCATGCCATTTAACTGATCAAAACGCTCTAGAATTTGATCAGAGCTCGCCAACAAATTTGACCACGCGCTCTCCGCGACTCCAATTTACGCGGAACCGAAACGACTCCAGGAAAGCCAGGAAATGGCGAGGCATGCTGGATTCCTAGAGCGGAAACGCGGGTGACCTTACTGCGCGCCAAAAATGAATTATTCGGGTGCAGGGGTTCTTTGGCTCACATAGAGTTCCGGGCACAGCTTCCGGTTGAGGTTTTGCAACGGACTACACACCGGTTTTGAGGTGTCAGGAGGTTCTGATTGGATAGGGAGGTCGTTTTCGTGACTTAAAAAAACCGGAAATAATACGGAAGCTGTAACCCCAGATAGAGCGGCTGCAAATCTGGAAAATCCTGGATTTTCAATCCCCAGATGGCAACCAGGCAAAATAAGGGCTGAATCGACTTCGTCAGGCCATGGAATCTGTAATTCTTGGGTTATTGAGAAAATATTATTAGAAATAAAGCCCGAGGAGGGAGAGAGACCGAGAGAGAAGAGAGGGAGATAGAGAGACGAGAGAGAGCGAGAGAGGGCCCCAGAGGAGGGAGGAGAGCGAGAGGAAACCGGTGGTCTGCAGTTCCATAGATAACGATCCAACCTCGCGGAAAATCTTCTTTTTCTCTATAGAATTTTGGCATGCCGTAGCAAAATAGAACCAAATAAATGACATGGGAAAATTCTCAATTTTTTTAACGTCCAAAAATTTTATTTGGATTCCTCGAATTCACGCGAGATTTTGGGAAGTCTCCAGTTTGCTCTCCTCAAATAGTATCATATTTCACTCCTTGAAAAAAGAACGTTCAATTCCCGTAGTTTCCCCCCAAACGTTTTTCTAGTCTGCCTGTTGGATAAGAAATCAACCGAATAACATTGCATCATGGTCCCTTGCCGGGGGTGTACACCCACCCTTGATAGGCGCCCCCGGCACCACCCGGTCCCGTCAGCAGCGTGGCGCAGTGGAAGCGTGCTGGGCCCATAACCCAGAGGTCGGTGGATCGAAACCACTCGCTGCTAACATTTTTTGCTTTTTGGGGGGAATTAGGGGATCCGTTTAGGAATGTTTTGCGAGACACTGTAAACAACATAGAGCCAAGTTCAGACTGAAATATACGTGAGAACGTTAGGCCTTCCTTTTCATCGGCCAGACAGGACGAATTAGCAAGGTTTCCCCAAAGATCGTCTTCTGGGGATTTGAAGATGGAGGAACCCCTCGGAAGCCTCAAAACACTGAATCGGAATTTTGTAGGAGTTAATAAAAGTCCTAGAATCAGAAGAATTTCAGGATCTCGGGTTTCCTTGGAAGAAACGCGAAGTTACAGCGAATTTTTGAAGAAGTCGACATAATACTAAATTTTCGAATAATATTTAAAGATTATAGATGCTTTAAAAATTACAAAAGCTCAGGAATTGAAACTACCCGCTCTTCAATCGTAGAAACATTTCGCAACTAAGAATAAACCCAAAAACACCAGATTAGAGCTGGAACTGCTTGCGAAGTGTGCCTCATTTACGAAGGCACATCTTGCAAAATTAAAATTTTCGCCTTAAAGCCGGTATTTTAAATATATCAGATGATTCTGCATAAGGGTTAGACCCTACCAAGTCACAGCCTAAAGCCTGAGGGGCTTAATTTTATTTATGTGCCTCGCCTTGGCCGCGGATGAGATAGCCAAAGTGGCACGACCGCGGAATTGTTTATAGGAATAGGCTGGAACTGGAGCGCCGAGCGCCAAAAATATTCACTTCAAATGGCGTGTAAGGATGAGGCGGAGGGGATGGCGTGGAAAAAAGCTTTTATCCAGGTTTACTTTTACCCCCGCAGTCTAACAATTTGTTGGCTCAATAAAAAAGCGCTCCGTGCTAAATCCATATGTTTTTTGGCGCCCTGCCCTGTGAACGCGCATAAAAGCCGGAGCTGGCCATGCCCCTGGCGCCGATGCGAGCCTGGGTGGGCAGGAAAATCTTTTAGGAAGTGCGGGAATTTGAGTAAGGAGACAAAAGGGATTTCTCGGAACCTAAAAACCCAGCGACGTCAAGGGTTCGAAATTTGAGGCTTCAGCGCGCAACGCTCCCCCATAGAGTACTTTTTTTTCGGGAGAGCGCTGACTCACTCCGAAAAAGTTGAACCCGAACTCTTCTCCGTAACAAGTCCAATTCGCGATAATATAAAAAATTCCCTAGAAATTTTAGGAGAAAAACAGTGCCCAGCACACGATTCACCAAATCTAGTGAACCAAATCTATCTAGAGAACGAGCGAGAGAGAAAGAGAGAGAGAGAGAGAGAGGAGAGAGAGAGAGAGAATCGCGTTTGTACCAGCGTACAAAAATAAGGTATGCTTCGATAGGTAATCAGCAAGCTCGCGTAAACAGGCGTACTGCGTACTCTAGCGAACATAGCCTCGCAAATGATCGATTTCTTCTTACGATTGTCGTATTGTAAACTTTGGCGTAATCAGCAATACCGTACTATGCGCGTAAGTACGAGGACGTCAACTAGCGTAGTTTTGTGTCCTTACGTTTTATGCGGAGTCTTCGAACGTACTGCTACGTACATACTAACGTACAAAACTCCAAAGATGTGCCAAATAGGCTTTCCAACTTGATTTTTAAAGCCCTTTGGAGCTTTTGATCGTGTATTTGATCTTATGATCTGATCTTCGGCCTGGTACAGATTGGCCGGCCACTGTCATTAATGCGTAAGTTCGAAAAATTGATCTTTGACCCGACGAGGTGGCTACACATCTGCCGTTTGGCCCCCCGAGACCAAAGTCCCACTACGATTTGTAGCCCGAAGCTCCGACAGATTCCCAGACCACCAAATTTGGGACTTTATAGAAGTTTTGTAATAGAATTCATTCACTCCGCTTATTCCCAAATCATCGTCCTCCCACTCTTGTCTGAGAAGCCATGTTCTACCCCCTGCTCTCAGCCCTGAAGAAGCGTTTCACCATGGGACTCGCCGCGCACTTCCAGGTCCCCAAACCGGCAAATCGGCAAATAGATGAGACTGAGGGCGCAGCGGTAAGTATAGTTAACTTTTCTATTTATTTCAATTTATTTTATTTATTTATTACGGATTATTTAAATTTATTTAAACTCCTAGGTATTCTTTGGGTTTAATCCTTAAAATGTTGACTATTACTTGCAACTATCATCTTAATCGAGTCATTTTTAAATTTTCAATTGGATTAAATCGAGATTCGAAGTCAGCTGAATCTAAAAATATGGAACAAACCTCTATCTTTAGTTTAGAAATGGCTCCGCGTTAAATAAAATTTATGTAGTGCTTTGCCTCTTTAAAAATTTGGTTTTATTTATTCCCTGTTTTTCTTTAATTTTACTTTCTCTGATTTATTTAAATAGCTTAGTTAATTACTTTCATTAACGTTTCGGTTTCCCTAAATGCAAGTTCATCGAACTCCAATTAAACATTTTCTAACTGCGTTTTTCAGGCTCTCCCTGCTCTTTGGCCCGGCTTCACAATAACACCAGTGGTCAATGTTCTTCTTATTTCGTCTCCACAACTTTGGAAAAAAAACCCAAAAAGGTATATTAAATATGAAAAATACGATAATAATGAAAATTTAGGTGATACTCCTTGTTCGGTTTTGTCGATCACCTACCATCAAAAATTCTGAATTCGCCCTCCGACGCTGCTCGTCCACGCTGCTGTTTGTCTACACCGAGTGCAAAATCACGATCTTTTCCTTTCTCCGTTTCGTATTTTCCAAGCGGCATCCTTTATTTTCGTCTACAAATTCCTCAATATTAAAAATAACGCTTGCTGTAAAAAATTATCATCTCTGCAGTTACCAGAAGAACACAAAACCACTCCAAACTTTCAAAAACCATACCCAGCATCACACACCTTTCGTGCCGCGACCCGCGACTTCCCGGATCGAATTTTCGCATTACATCAGACAAAAAAAGTTGCAATTACCGTTTTATAATCAATGCCCCTCGGGGATTTGCATGTAGCGTATGTTCCCCTAAAACAATTTCTAGCTCTTTTAGTTTGGGCAATCTGGCAAATTCCATGAAAATTGAAATTACGTTTTTAATTTCAAGAAAGTTACGATGTTAGTTTCCTCTTCCACTTTTTTTAATTTACTTTAGAGCGCAAGTTTTCTGAAAAACGCCAATAGCTGTCAGACTGTCTCGACTTGACTATACTATCTTTACGTCAAAATGCGGCTTTTTAGTTTTATTTCCAAAGCCATATTTTTCTATAAAATGCCGAGAACTGCCGACCCGGCCTGACGTTACGCTACGCGTAACGTCCAGCCGCCGTACATGTAAATTTAACTCTGCACTCGGTCCATAGGGAGTTTGCATACCGCGAAAATATAACCGCCTTTCTTTGTTAGCCCTTTCTTGTCGGTAAATTAACGCGATAGGTCGGCATAACCTACAAGTACGTTACGTTCATCGTTTACCTGAAGCTCAGCTCGGAATTGTCAATTATGACAAGACATTCCTTTAGGTTTAGATCTTCAGCTTTTCAATTCCTCTGACTTCTCTATTTTTCTTTTGCTTGTTTTTCGACCCATTTTCCGGGTTTAGACTATGGACGCTCAGAACCAGACTTTGGCGAAGGTATCACAGGCGGGATTGGAATTGCGGCCAATGGATTCTTACTGCATCTCATCGCAACAGATTGCAGGGCTGTAAGTTCTCTCTTTTTCTCTCTCTCTCTCTCTCTCTCTCTCTCTCTCTCTCTCTCTCTGTCGCTATCTCGCTCTCTCTAACCCGAAATTTCTAGCGTTCCAGCGACGGCTACCGCAAAATGCTAGTCATAATCGCTGCCTACAATATTTATTACGCTCTCGTACACTACCTTACTGACAACGTAAGCGACGTAATAGGTATAAGGTATAATCAATTGTCTCTAGGCTTTTCTAGTCGACGAATTTGGATACCTCTGCTTTAGCAAGCGTGAATGGTTTGGGCTATATGGGAACGGTTTATAAGGTATAAAAATCTAGTTATCTCTCTCACTCTCTCTCTCTCTCTCTCTCTCTCTCTCTCTTTCTCGCTCTTTCCTCATTATCGTTCTATGTCGCTTTTGAAACGAAGAACTTTAGAAAAACAACAATATAACTGGCGAAGTAGAATACAACAGCGTTGCTATCGGCGCCGGCCTCTTGATTATAACTCTTCAACTTCTAGCTTTTACGATAGCTACAGTTTCTGGTGTAAGGCAGTGAAGTCGTAACCGCAACAATGTTTTGTGCGCTTCAGACCGGGTTAATGGCTTTAAGCCCAATTTAAGATACAACTACGTCAAATGCACCTTGGCGAGTGAGAGAACTAGACAAATGAATCTGCAAATGCTGCGATTGTTGTTTTTCCAGGTAGCGTAATTTTTATAATCCGTTAATTGATCTTCATTTACTTAAACTTTCATGTTCCGCTTTTCTAGGCCATTTCACCTCTAATTTTCGAGTTTATCCCGCTGCTCGCCACGATTTTTGGCGGGATTATTGCCGTGAAATTGGGTGAGATTTTCGCAAGAACTAGTGATAAAAAAGATTAAAAGGATTTTAGACAAACATGAAGACTTATTTTTAGGCCTATCCATGTCCGAAGCCGCGTATTTCATCCCGATCCTCGTGGTCTGCTACCCGGCGGCCGACGCGCTGATGGTGTTATTTGGGTTTACGGTAGATGATGAAGACAAATATAAAGTATAAATGATATACTTCTAGGCGTATCGTAAGCGTTTGCTGAAAATTATCGGCTTCCGCCAATATTCGTCAGCCGTACACGCGCAAACAGCCTCCGAGAATTACCGCTGAAGAAGCCTTCTAAAATTATGTTATCAACTTTCAAAATAAAGAGAAAAAATCAAGCTAACCACTCAAA